ATGCAAAATCCAACCCCCCAACGGGCAAAAAGGCAAAAATGGACTTGGAATGGAAAACATGGAATCCAAAAATGCAAAACGGGATCAAATGACCGTTTGGCCCTTGGCCACACTTCATACAAGATTAATAAGACCCTATGAAAGAATGAAAACGGAATTCCCACACCCGATGCAACTATGGTGAACCAATGACTTGCGATTTTTCAAGGTTTTCATAGCTTTTCAAGAAATCAAAAGATACATATGATACAATATAATGGTCATTGGCCTCCGTCCTCATCTCATACATATCAAATACATTGAAAGGAGTGTACTTAAGTACACATTACATACATGGAATCAAATATACATATTTTGACATATAAGTCTACAAAATGACATTCCATGCTAACATTCGCATGAAATGGAAACTTGAAAGCTATACGATATCCAAGGAATGCTAGGCGTCACGAACCAAGTCTTCGTACCTAAAATATGCCCTAGTATCGTAGGGGTGAGTAACATAAAGCTACTCGTAGGAGATGAGCATGCATCGACCTAGCATTTTACAAATTTATCACCTTAAGGTGAAACATGTTAAAGGGGCTCATGCCACCTAACGTCTATGTCCAAGTGAAACTCGGGGAGCATCCTAAGCTACCTTAGAGTCTAAGCAACAAGAATCATGCTATACATATGTGTATGAAACGAATCATGGTTGGGATAATCTAAGAACACGACAAGAAGAATGCTTGAGCATAGATTAACATGAATTGCATTTTCAATACAATTGAACTAGGTCTAGAGTAATCCATACAACATCACAAAAACATATTTGAATACAAGTTAACAAGAATCACATTATCCATGCAATTCAACAACAAAAGAGCATGTTATACAGTGCAACAAGGTTTAAGTTCTCAAAGCCATCAACTTAGAATCTAAAGCACAAAATAACAGTAGTGGTTCATGCCACCTAACGTCTATGTTATAAATGAATCAATAGGATCAATCCTAAGCTTTATTAGAACGTTAAAACACGATTTTCAATATCGGTGCAATTTAACCAACATTGGAACTTCGAATACAACGCATAAAGCATAATTTCGCAAAGTTAACATCCTGTAACTTAAAATGGAACGACAAATAAGAAACAACAAGTTACAACATCATCTAGTTATCAACTGGAAAATGAAATGCGAAATCAAACAAAGTGGATACTCGGACGTCACGCCGGATCAGACCGACAACATAGATACTTTAGGGTTACTAGCCCATGGGTAACCTCCCTACGTGCGCACTAGACCATATAGAGAAACTATCCCCCGTACTAGAACCACGTCCTAGCCATAGTCAAACAACGACATCCCTAGGTTTCAAAAATCAATAAGTTGTGCAATAACGCATATATCAACAGGAATATGCAAGATAATCAACTATCTACCAAGCACAACCAAATTTGGAAACCTATACAATAAGTCCACAACTAATATGATGTGATGAATATCGAATCTTCAGTGTGCGATTCGTTACACGCTATGCATGAATGATGTTAAATACGAAATGTGCAAATCATTACACAAGGCAACAATATATTCAATAAGGAAAACATATTCTCATGAGTATAAACATAGCAACTATGTTATCCAATGCTCAAAACATAACCAAATGAATATACAACAAGTCTAAGTCCATGATTTGAATATAGAAACCACTTCTAAAATACAACTAGATCATGGAGCAAATTGATAGAATTTAAATAGATAAACACAATTAAATTCTATAGATTCCAATTCAATTCCAATTAACCTCAATTTAACACATGTTGAAGGACATGGCAAGGTCATCACCTATATCCATTCTAAAACTCAATTAGGTTGGAACAACAAAGTAGAACTTTAATTAAATCATGCTAATTTAAATCCCAAGGTTCTAAAACAACTTCAAATAGTCCCAAATTAATATATACTAGTAAACAAGTCATGGCCAATACAAACATCAAGTTAAAACCTTAATTAAGCTAATGGGACCACAAAATAGATTTTAATTAATTCTTTTAATTAAAATCTCTAGATTTTCAAACTTAACCAAATGCTCTCAATTTAACATATCTTAGAGAACATGCCAAGGATTAATGTAATATCACATTACAAGCTTATTTCATGCAAGTTACACCTATGTAAATTAAACTTTCACTAAAGTTAAATATAAAATAAAGGTTGCAATTCTCATGCAATTAATCCCAATTTAATATATGTGAACAACCACACCAAAGCTTAATTTTCTAGCATGCCACAATTCAATTCCAAGTTGTATATCACCATGAGAATTAAATCTTAAACAAGGAAATTAATTAAATGAAAGGTTTCAAAACCTCACCGAATATTCTAAATCAAATATATGTGAAGCTATATGGCATGTAGATCAAGAATATCAAGTCGGAATTTGAATGGAGTGAATAGTTCACTCGGGGCAAATTAATTAATAATTACTAATTTTCAAAATACCTCCAATTACTTTCAAATTCAACTATGTTGAAGAGCATGCTAAGGCCTAATATAATATGCTAACACATACTAATTTCAAGCTAGTTAAGGCCATGTGAATTAATCTTTCACCTAAGATAAATATTAAATAAAATCTTTAATACTTATTCAAATGTTCCAATTTTAATACACGACAATGAGTATATCAAGGGGCAATATAAAATCATGCTACATGTTTAAACCAAGTCATGAGCAACCGGGAAAATTAGATCCCGTACAAGAAAAATAAATAATAAAATCTCTAGATTTTATATTTAATCATGCAAACAAGTAGTATAAGCATCACAAGCATGCTATATAACAAGAATTTAAACCTAGAACATCCCCTACCTCAATTTGAGATGAAAATCTCAAATGCCATCAAAATGGAACGGCTCCGAATCCGACGAAACTACTAGGTTTTGTCAGGGACAACGCCGTGAACATAACCCCCATGAAAGCCCCATCAAAATCATAACTTGACCTCAAAACCAAACTCAAGCAATGGTCAAAACTGAATTCTAATAAGGGGGAAAGGTAGAGCACGGCCAAGGGAACAACAAACGTTAAGGCCGAAGACTTTCCATCAAAGAAAAGTGAACCAAAAGAGGAGAGAGAAGATGACAGCACCCCTTGAGCTGCCATGGGAACTCCAGGTCGTGCATGAAGAGGGGAGAAGATGAAAAATGAAATATCTCACCCCCCTTTTATAGAAATCTCAAAAAGTGCCCCGAACGGGCCCTGCCGGGTCTGAAAAAGTAAAATTTGAGCAGACGCTCTCAAATGGTAAAACTTTGTGAACAAAAAAGATTCAAAATGACAAAATATGAACAACAAAAGAAACGGCGTCAAAAACCGAGTCCCGAGCAAAAAGTTATGCCCAAAACAAGTTTGGCGAAAACTGGGGCCAAAAACCCTGAAACTGGAAAATATCGACCAGGAGGAAATTTCAAGAGTACACAACTCAACGAAATATGAAAATGAATCTCGTACAAGGATCCAGGCTCAAAACAAGATATTTTGCAATAACTTTCATTAATTGCACAATGGCCCCTCCAAAAAGTGAAAACTGCATTTATGGCCCAGAATGAAAATATCTTCCAAAAATATTTTCTTAAAAACCCCTAAAATAAAATATGTTCAAAACATATTTATGAAAAACAGCCCAAGAAATGAAATTAATTCCAAATATTTATGCATCCATGCCCCTATGGGCACCGGGAACAACCAGAGTACTTTCTTGCAAAAGTAAAGATAAGTATTTCGAGGAAACCACTCAAGATGAAGACACATGAAGTCAAAAACCAACTCCAAGAATGAGAAGTGAGGTTGTGCCAAAAACTGACAAACAGAGATAAGACAGAATAGGGAAAAAGGACGAAATAACGCATAGTGTCGAAAACCGAAAAATGTGAAAATGACTCGGTCCTCAAAGGAAGTTGTCAATCCATGGAAAAGAGTCTCAGGAACCAATTCTGAGCACTCAAGAAGACACTAAGCAACACAAAACAGAGCTCAGAAAAGAAATTTAAACGAAAAAAATTCATTCGTAAAATTTCAGGAAAAAGGAAAGGAAGGCAAATGACCGGGTCGTTACAAGTATCTAATGGGAATGATGTTTTATTTCTCAATTCTTTTGTATGTGCCTCTTGTATGAAAATTTTCTAAGTTATTGAAACTGAAAAATTCCTTCAGATATATTAACAATAAGGCTTAACCATGAAATGACTTTCCATAACAGAGGAATAAATGAACTTGCAAAAATGGAAATACATGTATATACAAGCAAGATGAGTAATTTCCAATATGAACAGAACCTGGACCATGCAGTGTAGCCTTTTTCTTAATGACAAGTCCTATATTTAGAAAATTAGCCAATCTTTGTAATATGGCTAAGTCTGCTTCATAGTTTTAGCCAATATACTTTTCTAAGTACTTAACTTTTCCTTCTTGGAATGGCCAAAGTATGGCCATTACGCTTCCTTTCCAGCTTTCTGGTTTACTTAGAAAGAAAGATACCAGCAATTTTATGTGGTCAGTAGAATGATTGTGGATTTCCAATTTTCATAGATGGAAGGGTGATACTTTTTCAAATACACACCATTCACAGGATGCTTATGAGATCCTCCATCTATGTCCACCAATCTATAAGCCCTTTTTTCCAAGGACCCTTTCTACCAAGTAAGGACTATCCCAATTAATGGTCCATTTTCCATATTCCAAGGTTTTAACTCCAGGTGAAAATTTGACTTGCCATACCAAGTCTCCTTCAACAAATGTCTTTGCCTTAACCTTCTTATTTTATGCCCACATAACTTTCTTCTTTTGAGTAATAATATGATCTAAGGCATTGAAGCGGACTTCATCAAGGTTTTCCAATTCTACCAACATTGCATAGTTGTAGTCTGTCGGAGTTAGCTTATTTTGGAAAGCCACCCTCGCAGACCTGACAATCATTTTCATTGGGAGAATGGCATCATATCCATATGTAAGCATTTATGGTGTGAAGCCCGTACTTGATCTTTTTGAAAACCTATAAGCCCAAAGGGCCTCAGAAAGTAGGTGATGCCATTCCTTTGGATGATTCTCAATCATCTGCTCAAGGATGTTAAGAATTACTTTGTTGGAAGCTTCTACTTGTACATTTGCTTGGGCAAAATATGGAGTAGAACTAATTACTTGAATGCCACATTCAGCACAATAGTCAATAACTTCACTTCCAACAAAGGAAAGGCTTCTATTTATGGTGAGAGTCCTTAGAATTCCAAACCTGTGTATAATGTGCTTCTTGATAAAATTAATCACTGTTGACTGCTCACAGGTCTTTAATGGAATGGCCTCCACCCACGTTGTGAAATAATCTATTGCAACTACCATATAAGTATAACCATTTGTAGATAGTGGCCTTAACTTTTCAATGAAGTCCAAAGCCCATCCTCTGAATGGCCATATTTTCACTATTGGCTGCGTGTTAATGGCTGGAACTCTTTGGACTAGGCAATGTTCTTGACATACAATACAAGTTTTTGCAAACTCTATGCAATCTTTCAATATGTCTTTCCAATAATAACTGTACCTTCTAAGAACCCACATCATCTTAATTCCAGCTTAATGAGCTCCACATATTCTAAGGTGTGATTCTGCAATCACTCTCATGGACTTGTTCCTGCCAAGGCATCTTAGCAAGAGTCCATCTTCTTTATTCTTTTTGTAGAGATCTCTATTAATCAAAATATAATATAGTGCCAAAAGTTGAACTCTCTTGTCCACATTGGCACTAGGATCTTACAAGAAATGAATAGTTGGTGTTCTCCAATCATTTAAGTCTAATCCATCTATATCAACATTGAAAATCTCCCATGTCCTCTTAGCAGGTTTAATTCTTTATGGCTCGTCAGATTGGAAATGACCTGCCATCTCATACCGTGACTCTACAGAAGGGAGAGTCCTTCTTTTGATTGTGATCTAGGTCTCTTCTACACCCAGTGGGACTTTTTCTCAAGAAGCTAATTGTGTTAGATCATTAGCCTCCGTGTTTAAATATCTTGGCCAATATTTGAGTTAGAAATCATCAAATTGGTAAAGTAATTCCAAAACCAAAGAGTGGAAAGGCCTCACATGCCAATTGAGACATCTATATTCTTCAAAAGTTGGTTAAATATCAAGTTAGAATCTCAAATAATCTTGACCTTATCCACCTTTAGCTCTAGCAAGATTTCCAACCTAATAATTAACACCTCATTCTCAGCTTGGTTGTTTATACACTTGAAATCCAAGAAGAAAGAAAATGTGGTCTTTCTTCCCTTTGGTGAAATGATGACTATTCCAGCTCCTCCTCCAACATGAGTATTTGATCCATCAAACATGAGAGTCCAAAGTGTATAGTCAAGGTAGAGATTATCCACCTCGTCGCATACTTCTGAATTTATCTTGGTAGAAGGATGATCTGCTAGAAATTCTGCCACCGCCCTTCTTTTGACCGCCTTTTGTGGAATATATTTGAAAGAAAACTCTGTTAAGGCCAATTACCACTTTCCAATATGTCTAATGATCAAAGGCCTCGAAAGCATATACTTAATCAAATTTATTTAAGAAATGATATACACAGCCACTAGCAATATGTAGGTTCTCAACTTAATAACCGCATAATATAAGGAAAGACACAATTTTTCAATGGAAGTGTACCTACATTCCACTGGAGTGAGTACCCTACTTAGGTAATAGATGGCTTACTCCTTTCCCCATTCATTTCTGGGCTAGAAGGTTTCCAATTGATTCATCGGCAGCCGATAAGTATAATCTTAAAGGTCGCTTCTTAATTGGAGGTATCTAGAAGGTTGGCCAGGTAGCTTTTCAAACCTTCAAAGGCTTGCTGGTGCTGTTCTTTCCACTTAAATTTTTCAGCACCTTTTAATTTCAACGACGGGGAGAAAGCATGAGTCTTTCCAGCATGGTTGGCAATAAACCTCCTTAAATATCCAACCTGGATAAGAAATCATTGTAGTTCTTTCTTAGTTGCAGGTGGCTTTGCTTTAATAATTGCCTTTGTTTTATTTTGGTCCATCTCTATTCCTCTTTGGTAGACCAGGAAACCCAGGAAGTTTCCAGCTGAAACTCCAAAAGCACACTTCAAGGGATTCATCTTCAACTTTTGTTGCCTCATTCTTTCAAAAGCTATCTTTAGATTACGGAGATGTTGAACCTTGGCCAAGGATTTGATGACATCATCAATGTATACTTCTAAAAAATGGCCAATCATGTCATGGAAAATGGCATTCATGGCCCTTTAATATGTTGCTCTGGCATTTTTTAGCCTAAATGACATGACAACCCATTCAAAAGTTCCAACGGATCCTGGACATCTGAAGGCTATCTTAGTAATATCTTCCTCTGCAATGTAAATCTAGTTGTACCCAGAATGTCCATCCATGAATGAAAGAATTTCATTCTTGGTAGTAGAATCTACCAACTGGTGAGCAACAGGCATGGGGTACTCATCTTTTGGAGTTGCAAGATTTATATTCCAGAAATCCACACATACCCTTAGCTTGCCATTCTTCTTAATAACTAGAACTATGTTGGAAATTCAGTTAACATACCTAGCAGTTCTTATAAAACCAGCCTTGTGTAGCCTTTCTATTTCTTCTTTGACCTTTAGAATAACTTCTTGGGACATCCTTCTTGGAGGTTGCTTGAAAGGCTTGAAACCTTCCTTGATTAGCAGTTTATGCTCTACTAATTCTCTAGAAAGTCCTGACATTTCCTCATACATCCATGTAAAATAATCTTTGTATTTATGAAGTAAGGAAATCAATTCTTCTCTAAAGGTCGGTTCCAGAAGCTTACTGATGTAGGTGGCCGAGGGTCTTACTCCGTTCCAAGATTGACTTCTAACAAAGGATCTTGCACTTTGGCCTTGAGATCATCTAACTTAGTTGGTGCTACCTTCAAGTCATCTAACTTGTCTTCAGTATCTTCTATAATTTCCAAAACATTGGTTGAAAATGAAGTACTGGCAGCTGCAGTTTTTTCCAGCCGCAGCTCGGCTAGATATGCTTTCAACTTGGCAAGGCAAGAACTTACCACCTGGCCAAGTATTCTATCTTCTTTAGGTTTCTCTTCCATAAAAAATTTTATTTGAAATGCAGCATTGAGCATAGGCCTTGGGTAGAATTGTTGGCCCTGGTGTTCCTTGGAAAAGCTCTCTTACGTCCTCTTCGGTGAGAGTTCTCCTTATGGTGGCCTTCCTTAGACGGCCCTTGCTATCCTTTCCCAAAACTTTGATTGGAACGAATTCTTCACTATATAGTTCAGCATCTGCATAGTAGACCCTTGTCACAAATGGTTGGTTATTAGCCTCTACTACTTTTACCTCATCTCTATCATAAAATATCAACATTTGATGGAGTGAAGATGGAATGCAAAAGTTTAAGTGAATCCATTTGCGGCCTAAAAGCAAGTTATAGGCCGCTGTGCACTTAATAACAAAGAAGGCTGTGATTGAAGTCCTATCTCCCACCATCAATTTCAACGGTAGAACGCCTTATGTCTTCACTATTCCACCCGTGAATCCATTAATGGATACATCAGTTGGAATGATGTCTTCAGGCAACTTTCTAAGCATACACATGGTATTGATTGGAACAACGTTCAATACTGAACGTTATCTACCAGAACTCTTGACAGGGGCCTCCCTTCCACCAGTACCTTAATATATAACTATTTGAGCTGCTGAGTCATGCCATATGGTTACTTTTGTAACATAATTTTTTTTGGTTTTGGTGGTTATCGCGGCACCAACGTTTAAGGATGCACTAAAAGAGTGAATGTGCAATGTATCCAAGTTTTAAATTTATAAAAGCCACTACTACCTCTAACTAAAAATAATATAGCTAGGGTGAGTAGGGATTGTCCCAAGGGATTGTGGGTGTGTTCGCAATGGAAACAATATATAGTGTTAGTAGGTCGAATGATCAAAAGATAGTTTGTTTGGTTGATTAAACTACAATGCAATTGAAATTAAAGCAAGTAAGATGTAAAAATTTAGAAAGTAAGGAAAAAAATATAGAGGAGAGGACTTAGGGTACTAGAGCTCACCACTAAACTTGACTTCACTAGACACTAGCAATTGTATATCAATGGGGAAATTAAATTGTAGCTTGTGTGTGTGTGTGTGTGACATTAATTGAAACTAGGCATGGATGGCAAATAAGTATAGCCAATTCAAATGGAAAGCACAACCTATCAAATAAGACCAAAATCCATTCAATGAAACCACAATTTATGCACACATAACTATCTATAGACATACACCCTTTGCATTCATAAGTATGGAACACCAAGGAACAAGAATAGATTATCCACCTATCTATGAATCTAAAGCAACTACACTACATCTACACTAAAGATATGGAAATTAAACTAAGTGAGCTAAAAGTGTGGCACAATCCATTAAGAAACAAGTGTGAACCATCAAATAAATTACAAAAGTGTTCAATTAAGCACTATATTTTGACCATCTCTAGATTAACTTCATCCACACACATAGACATGTATAAACTCCACTAAATCTAGAGAAAGGCACATGAATCATCTATTCTAGCATACATAGACATATGGTTAGAAATAGATAATCAATTGAAAGCATTAATCCATACACATCAAGTAAAAACCACAAGATATATATATAAATCCAAGATCAAAACATTTATTACAAGCAAATCCCCAAAAATATACAAAGCACTAAGTCTACGAAGCAAACTCAGGGGCTACTCTAGCCCTAAGTAGATGTCTAGCCACTCAATGAAGTAGTCATCCAACCCTCAAGGGCTATCTCCATGGTAGGAATGACCTCTTTCTTGATGGAAACCCTAGAAAAATGGAAGAACTCCCAAAGATGTGTAAAAGCTCTCTAGTCTCTAGCCTCCTCTCCAAGATATGAGATATGATAGTAAGATATAAAGATATGATGAATCCCCCTCTTAAAATGGCTTCAAATCTATATATAGGAAGCTCAAGTGTCACACCCAATGGTCTAGATTCGTGCACTAGGGCCCTTACAATGATTGCACCATGAGCTAAGTTTTAATGAGCTAGAATTTGTTTTATTTTGGACTTGAGGAGGTTCAATAGATCAAACTGTGTTGAGATTGATCAAACATTGGTGAGATCCATTGAATACTGCAGAGATAGATCATCCTTGGTGGTGCCTTTTTGAATAAAGACAAATCTCAGATATTTTGGGATATTTTGGGAAAGAGACAAAAGTGGTAGGTGGGATGGTAGGTGTGGATAAGATCGAATAATTTTGATCGATCTGAGAAAGGTTGGATTGATCAAAAATGGTGAAATCTTTTTGGATAAGGACAATTGCTTGGATCCATCTTGATGAGGCCAAATCGATCTTGCTCTGATCGATCGAAGGAATGTTGAGATCGATCGAACTTGCTATTTTTCCACACTTTGCTTCCACTTTGCTCCTTTCTTCCATTCAACTTGAGATTGCTTCTTTAAGCTCTTATTTGGCTGAATTAACTTATTTTTGGGATAAGTACCTAAAAAGGGCAATAACATGAAATTAGTCTAAGGTGAGA